AGAGAGAATAATAAATAAAAGCAAAAAATAATAAAAGAATAAAGAGAGGGGAAAAATAATAAATAAAACCAAAAAATAATAAAAGAATAAAGAAACGGTAATTTGGTTATTTCACACAAACTTAACCCCATATTTTTAACGAAGTTATCTATAAGAACCATTCCTGCAAGAAATTCAAAATTAAGGATCATCTTTGCAAAACATTCTCGATAAGGACAAAATTCCATACATATTACCAAGCACGGGGACCATTTATGTAACTTTGTCTAATTTCAACGACCTAAGTGAGAAGTTTTTATGATTACAGTAGTTTGGCGTGCATAAAAAGTAATGTTTTAAAACTCGGGTTTTTGGTTGACCCGGTATGATGACCGGTTCACGGGTCAACCGGTTCAACCGGTTGAACCGCCGGATCAACCCGATTTATGGTATTTCTCTATTTTTATATATTTTTACTTTCATATATAATGCATAAACATATAAAACCAATAATTTAATGTACACAAAGTTTAAATATTTAAAAACATTGAAGAAACCGCGAACGGCTCGTTGTTTTGGTCTTCGCTACTTGTTTTCAACTATCCAAACTCTATTAAAACGGGTCAATCCGGTTTTAACCGGTTCGACATAAGCGGTTGAACCGCGGTTTAGAGGAAACCCGGCCGGTTCGATTCGGTTCGTATTTTTACAAAAAATCGGTCTCAATTGACCCGCCTTCTACCCTAGGTCACGGTCCAACCGATTGAACCGACCGGATCAACCCGGGTTTTAAAACATTGATAAAAAGTGATATTAGAGGATGAAAATTATATTGTTATTTTATGATCTTAAACAACAAATCAAAAATAAATTAAACATTATTTTTTTTGTATTTTATTAAAAATTTATCCATTTAAAATAATATTAGGTAAGTGTCTCGTCATCATATTTTTCATAGTGAATTTGGCCTAAATGAAACAAATTCTAAAGTATAATTATTAAACATGTACAAAACCAAATTTAGTAACTTATGTGAAGCAGATTATAATATTTTGTTTTATAACCTTAATATACATTCTATTAATGCAAGAACGTTCGTAGTATTTTTTTAAAGAAAAATATGACAAAAATATAAAATTAAGTGAATAGTTGAGGATTGATTAAAAAATTTTAAGTGAGGGAAAAATCGTAAGCATGGGATAGTGGAATAAAATCTAAGGTTGGATAGCAAACGTGTGGATAAACCCTAGTGATCGAGATGAGATCAAACATATCCCTTTTCAAAAAGTAGATTCCATATGGAAGGCTTATAACTATGTCAAAGGATCACACTATTTACTTGTAGCTTTTTTCTTCTTTTATAAGAATAAATCTCATTTGAGCCAATTTTATTGACAAAATAGGCAAATACCAGATCCACGCAATATACTATTTTCAAACTGGGATCATTTTAATGATTTATATGATTGATCACTGGTAATACAATAATATCAGTTTGCTAAGTATGTTATAAAAGCATGAGATCTGATATAATCATATTTAAAATTTATTAACCATGAATAAAGTGATACACATGATAGCTCTAACATCCACTTTTGGATAATACACACATGATAGCTCTACTTAAAATAATGACTTCCTTAATATGAAGATGACAAAATATAGTCTAACAAGTTAGTTAACTGGTCAAAAAGATTGGTTCTAGAGATTAAATAATTAGTGATTTAGATTTTTATTTATTTATTTATTTGTTTTGTTTCTTTTTGAAAGACATGTAGGGGAGATAAACAACAAAAAGTGGTTCTAGAATCTAGATTTGTGTCAAATGCCGATAGAAAGAGGAAAGATTTTTAACACGTAAGAATACCTCTTTCTAATTAAAGCTTTTGACTTTTCATGATTACCCACGCCAAGGTTTTTCATTTTGGTATTTAGTTAGATTACCAAAACCATTTTAGATATACTCACCATAATGATCGATTTTTGTGCATTGAAATTATTTGATTAAAGTTGGTTTAGAGTTTAGCGGTTGTTAAAATTTTGATTAAATCTATCTGAAATAAGTTTTTATCAGGATTTCAGAATTCTATGATCTTAAAATTTTGATCCGAGCTAATCTTACATCTTTAGTTAGAAAACAATGCAACTAACTTGAAACCAAACATTACATGCTACAAGAAGTTTCATAGAATATCACTATTTCATTCGTACATCTTAAATTAAAAAGTATATCTTGAAATCTATATTATTCTCTTTATGATCTTATGTCATATATTGCACATGATCATGATGATATTGTTTTTTTTCTTAAAATATTTTCTTTCTAAATTTCACGGTTTCCAACAAAAAGAATTATTGTTAACCCTTGATCATTTAAATTTGATTTCAACATCAAGCTTCAATAAGTGTTGTGAAAAACAACTTTATGAACAAATTTGGAGTTCAATCCTAGTCTGATCTTATAATATCTTGTAAAATTTAAAACGATTTTATATAATACTCCGATCTTAACAACCTTTAGATAATAAATTAACTAAATATTTAAATAATTTAATTAACATTTCTTTACTCTAAAAATCTCTCAACTTAAATTCATTTCTATCTATGTGAAAAATTCTATAAAATTGTGGCTCAAAATTGAGATAATCGTAAAAGTCTAAATACGTAATATATATATATATATATATATATATATATATATATATATATATATATATATATATATATATAAAAGATAATTCGAATAGGGACTTCACACGACGAAATCTATGTCAGCCCGTGACACATCAACAAATAACACAGTCTCATTCCCAAGAAATGACAATCTCATATCTAAATCTCATTCTCATCAATCTCATATCTCAATCTCCTCCTCGAAAGAATATCAATCTCATATCTGATCTAATCATCTTCCATCTCGATCAAAAGTTCTTACTGTAATTTCTCACTTCATATCAACTTTAGGAGTTATATCTTTACTCCAAATCATACTCTGACACTTCATCTTATTTTTATCTCGCTATTTTCTAAATTATCATAATTAATATTAAGAAATCTGCTTTTTAATCCATGATTATCATCATTTTCATTATCAATAAGCCTTCCACATAATGGATATCAATTAGACACTCATCAAATCGGTATATTATAAACCATATCTTCAAATATTATTCCGGGTCCATAATGCATCCAAATTAATCAATCAGGTCGTTCAAACCATTTTCTCAATTTAATCTCTCGTATTACTTAAATCAGTGATTAATTAATCATTCAAATTTATCACTCAGATCGCTTAAATCGACCATTTATATTAATTATTCTAATTGATATTAATCACTATGATAAAAAAATTGCTCCGACTAGTCACTTAAATCTATTGATCAACTATTCCAATGAGCATTTGTTTATTTGATTAATCACTTGGATTGCTCACCTAGTTTAATCAAATAAATCACTCAAATTAGTAGGATCAATCGCTCATATTAATATTTTTCACTTAAATCAATTTCTCGAATCACTCAATTTAATATTGTCTACTGAGATCAATTACTCGGATCAATATCATTTACTCAAATCAATAACTCAAGTCGGTCATAATATATCTCATATTAAGATTAGGTATTGTCACCTCTCAGAGACTCAATCACAAAATATCATCTACATGTAAGTCAAATCGTCTACATGTATGTCAAATCATCTACATGATATAATCATGTAAGTCTATAATTTTAATCCAAATTCTCATTTTGTAAGATCCAATCACCTCTCATGGATCTTTGTGTAAATCATATGATCTCGAGTAAAAGTCTTCATTTCTCAAATTTTATTTCATTTATATTATTTGTCACTTTCTCTCTTTCTCTCGATATCTCTCTCTCTCTCTCTCTCATATTTTCGTCTCTTTCTATCTCTATCTTAACTATTCATCATCCCTCTCTCATTATTCTCAAAATCTCTATCAAAAGTTTTCTACATCTTTATCTCTTTCTTAATATTAATCTTGATCACGTTATCTCATTTTAAGAGTAATATTATTACTTTGTCTCACACTCTCATACTCTATCTAATCTCATGCTCTAGAATCTCTTTTAATCTGAGCTCTTTGATTCAAAACGCTTCATTATAACTCTCATATTATCTCAACATTAAAGGCTATAGAATCACTCTAGTTTTATACTCTCATTTTCTCTACACTCTTGACTCTATAAGTATATTTACATATATTTTAACTCATCTTCATCGCATATCTCGTCATGATAAATTTCTCATCGCCTCATTGTTGGAAATATTTTTATGTGATTGTCACTTGAAATAAGTTGAGTATTGATTTATATTTTCTAACATAAGCTTAGCCAAACATCCCCCTTACACCCTTCATTATAACTGAGCCTTTCATACTCTAATCAAAACTAGATCTTATTTATGCTCTTCTGTCCTATGAATTTTGTATCTTGAATCATGATTTCAGTATTTTAGAATCTATTTAGTCCAACAAGTGGAATCAGAGCAATGATTTAACTGGGTTAGTTGCAAATCTCTGAATACTTTTTGTATTCTTCGAGTATCTCGTTTATCATTTTAATTTTCTAAATCTATTCTGTATTTTTAATTTATTTGTAATTTGATCTAGAATTTCTTGTTTTGAAATTTCTATCGATTTAAATATTTGCTTTAGCTCACTTATTTCATTCTTTATTCAATTTGTTTTTGAAATCATATTGAAAGAATATTCTCACATTGTTTCATTCAACTTGCCAAGTAGTATCGATTCAACTACTCTTATTCCAATTCTTTTTCCATAACGAACGTCAAACTTTTGAGGCACTCTTTAATGGTTTCTAGCATTCTTGACGACCATAGAACAAAACCTGGCACATGATATTTTGGAATCCTTTGTCGAGGAAGTTCTAACAAAATTGTACCCAAAACACTTGACCTTATAATCTTCATATCAATATATATACAATATAAATCAACTAACTTGATCGCATTATTAGAGCCAAATGACCTTTCTAAAAAAATCACTTGAAGAAAATCATAAACATTACATTCCAAACAAGTGGGAAGCATGATTTCATAAATCTGTAGAGTTGAAAAAGAATAGGAGAACAACCCAACCGATGTAATACCTTGAGCATATTTGCAGAGGAGACATGATCAGGTTTGGAGTAAGCCTTACCAACATGTAATACCAAAAGCTTCCATACATGTGCCTTCGAAATTGAGGTCATATTTCCTTGAATTTTAAAGCTCATCATGTCCTTTGATTTGTTATAAATGGTAGTAGAATAAGCTAGAATCAACGACGATAAAGGAATATCCTTGTAGTGAATAAGAGCCTTCTTCATAACTAAATGATTAACACATTCAATGAAAGGTTGAAAATATTCAAGGTATTTGGAGAAATCAAGATAGACGATTATGTTATGATTCTGCTTGACAACTAAATTAACAGATGATGCAGTCTCGTCCATGAAGGAATCATGATCGGTTGAGGTTGCCAATGACAATTGTTGGAAAAGAGAACAAGAACACTCAAAGAATCAAATGGTTTTCTATATATTGTTTGTGAATTGTTTGATCAAGTAAAGAGATGAATGGGAATTGAATACACATAAGAATAAGCATTCTTGCAACCGACATTCATGATCACATTTGGAATGGCTTATCATAGTTTGCTAGCTCATTATTCTAGTAATAGAAAATGAAACAACTATCCTCAAGTACTTTCATAACAACACTTCCACATCTTCAAGAAAAATTTGATCATCAGATTATTGAGCATCATTACATGAAGAATACCATCATAGTGAAATACACTTTTGGAACATGATTATTTTTCGTAAATTGAACCAGGGTAAGGTTTGTGGTGTTTCAACACAATCATGTTGACAATGATTGGAATCATACACACATAATTTGTAAAATCTAATTTCAAGTTGGAATTAACTTGAAATGTCAATGGTTTCAAGTGATATGTATGATTTTACAATGAATAAATTAGAAAGAAGTAGGTATTATCTGTGACATTTCACTAATATCATGGTAATAATGAAGACATATTATTAACATAAAATTGAAAAACCATAATTTCATGTTGTTTTATACTTGAAATATCAAAGGTATTAGTGCATTGTGTGTAATGTTAATGAAATATTATAAAGAAGTTGGTAATGATTATGGATTTTCACATAAATTATAATTATAATCATTTATGATCACAAAATCAAACTTTGTAAAAACTAAGTTCAGATTGGAATTAATCTAAACCATTAAGAGTTTTAAGTGTAAGTGTGTTCAATGATTTAAAATAAAAGATAGAAGAAGGTATGGTTGTTTTTATTTCACAAAAATCTTGGTTATAAACACTTTGATCATATATACAGATGTTACGGAACCATAAGTTCAAGTTGGCTTAGATTCAAACTATCAAGGGTTTCATTAGTGTCATACTTGAACAACTTGTGTTCACTGTCAATTCTTTTGTTTCAGACTAGAATAATAAATGTTCATTGTTAATTCATTGTCTTTGAATCTAAAAAATCATCACAAAAGAAAAATATTTTGATTTTTTTTTAATTTAAAGAAAGCAAAATCTTCTTGAATTTTTTAAAATATTAAGAATGAAATATATTTTTGGATTTTTTGATGAAAGAAAAATATAAGACTATGGAGGATTGTGAGGGCTCGTAACCCATAAAAAATGAACAGAAAACACAAAGAACAAAAGTAAATAAAAGGAACTGGTTATAACGGGTTGGGATGGATCACATTCCATCGTACATGAACAATAACCGGATACAGTGAAACGGATAAGTACAAGGAATTTTACTTGCTCTGAAGCATTGTGATGCTTCATAGCCCATCGTAGTTAGTTGAATAGTAACCATTTTCAAATTGATTTAGGAACTGATTCAGCCTCCATTATTCTAAGCCCTTATAATATTCCCATAAATTCAGCTTCATGCAATGCCTTTGTGAAAATATCAACTAGTTTATCTTCCGATTTGACAAAATGAATTTCTACATTTATGTCTTCTACATGGTCTTGAATACGTGATATTGAAATGCAATATGCTTTGTTTTTTTAGTGTTGTACTGGATTATGAAATATTGTGATTATACTTTTCGAATTAAGGTACAATGGAATTTTCTTCATATTTATGGCATAGTCTCACAAATGACTTTGTATCCGAATTATTTGTGAAGTACAAGCGACATTAGCTATATATTCACCCTCAACAATTGAAAGCGTATCACATGTTCTTTGATTGCTAGCTTACAAATAAACATTTATTAGCAAAATACCACGACCCTAAGGACGTAGTTTGGCGAAGATATCAAAAGATATTCTTCTCAACTATCATATGAGGTTCTCTTGGATTAGCTTGAAACCTTGCATAATAATACACAAAAAACATTACGTTAGACCAAATTGATGTTAAATAAAGAAATAACCTAATCATGCTACAATACAAAGTTTAATAAGGTGTTGGGTTGTCAAGTGAAGGTGTTAGCTTCGTTCCAAATGCCATCGGAGTCTTCACTTTTGTATCTCCATTCATCCCAAACTTTGTAAGTAATCTCTTTGTGAAATCCTCCTAATTAATAAATATGACAAATTTACTCTTTCTAATGTTCAACTAAGGAAAAATTAATTGGACCAATTGAGCTCATCTTAAATTTAGTTTCCATTAATTTCAAAAATTCAACAATTAAATTAGGATCTATTGAACCAAAAATAATGTCATCAACATAAATTTGATCAACCATATAGTGATCACCAACCTGTTTCAAAAGAAGGGGGTGTTCAATTAAACCTTGTTTGAATTTTGATTGTTTAAGAAAACAAGTAATAGTTTCGTACCATGCCCTCTGAGCTTTTTAAGACCATAATGTTGATACATGAAGTGACCCTCTTAATTTTTGCCTACCGCAGTCTACAAGCATCTGCAGTCAAGCTGCTTCAGTGATTACATCCGAAGTCATCTAAAGCTACCGCAATCATCTTTCTATACTTAGTTTACTTTTATCTATCTTTCAGTAATAGTCTCTATTTTCTAGTATGCCTTGCATGGCTACTCTTAGAGAGTGAATCACTTGTACTTCTTGAGACTCTATATATAGAGCTCATGCCTTATCAATCAATACAGATCTCTCTTTACTCATCTCTAAATCTGAATTATCTTCAAATTATTCTTACACATCTCATATCTTTCTTACTCTCTAAAAATCCTCTCAAACATGACTGAGTAATAATTCTATTCGGAGCAAGTCATTCGTGACTTTATCACTAAGATTGATCTCACTCGCTAACTTGGTTTGAATGCATTCCATGTTATGAATCAACTTATGTGCTTACTTGATATATCACCTGCTGTCATTCATGTTTCTTTACTTTTCCGCAACTAACTATCTAACCATCTAACATATTAACTTATTATTGTTGAGCTTTTAGATCCTTTGAGATTAACTAATTCCACAACTATACTTATTCTAACGTTTGTTCAAGTGTGTCTCAAGTTTTTATCTCAACAATTGGTATCAGAGCCATAGTGGTTGCTCTTTGAAAAACGAAACTCTGACTTTTTCAAAAGGCCTTCTATACCACTGAAGTTTATTTTTTTTCTTAAAAAAAAAAAAACAAAAATGGCACAAGCACTTTCTCTGAATGTTTCCAACAATGTTGGTGGCTCAAACCGAGCTCCAATATTGGTTGCAAATGAATATCATCACTGGTCTCAAAGAATGGAAAGATACTTAAGGAGACTTGGTAGAGATGTTTGGCGATCTGTTGAAGAAGGACCACATGTCCCTGTTCTTACACCTGTTCAAACTGATGGCGCCATAGCCAGACTAGGAGGAGGACAACCAGTCTTGAACCGTCCCACCAAGGATGATCTCGATAAAATGGAAAATGATGTTATTGCTTTTTATGAAATCTCTTGTGGAGTTGCTCTTGACAACTTCGACATTATCATAAACTGTAAATCAGCAAAAGAGATCTGGGGTGTTCTCAAGAACTTGTATGAAGGTTTAGAACAAGCTCAAGATAAGAAGCTCACAACTGCACTCAATGAATTCAACAACTTCAAGGCTCATGCTGGTGAAAGTTTAGAGGACTCATTCAAAAGGTTCAATCTGATAGTTACTAAGTTATCAATTGCTGGCACCATCCGCAGTAACCATGAAACAAACCTTCAATTTCTCAACGGGGTAGGAAGACATTGGACTATTGCTAAGATGATAGTTCAAGGAGACAGAAAGATTCATTCCCTGTCTCTCTACAACCTATATGGGCAATTGCAAGCACAAGAATCCACCGTACTCAAAGATTGTGCTGACCTCGGAGGACCACTTGGTCTTGTAGCATAAGCTCCTCATAACCAGTCTTACTCTCCCTCGTATGACACCACACCACAGTCATACAAAGCTGACTTAGAGTATGATGATGATGAAGAATTTCAGAAGGCTATTGCTCTAGTTAGTAAACAATTCAACCGACTGCCACCTCACTCTTTTCGCAAAAATCAACAATTCAACAAACCACCTTTCAATCCTAGCTTCAATCCACAAAGCAATCACTCACATTTTCCTAAAAATTCACATCCATCACCGCAATCTCAAAACACTCAAGAAAAGGAAGCACCGCAGTCCATTCAAACCTTTGACTCCGGTACCCCTTCAGAAGACAAAAGAGATGTTGTAATATGCCACAAGTGCAACAAAGAGAATCATTTTGCAAAGGATTGCAAAGCTAACGTAGTGAAAGACAGAGCATTCTACATTAGAATGGCTCAAGAACTCGAGGAAAAGGAAAAAGCTAGGGCATATGTAGCTCATGTTAAAAGAGACCATCAAGTTTCATCATCCGGAGATGAAGAAGAAAACATCAGCAACATCAAAGGCAAAGGCAAGATATGCATGCTAGCAACTGCAAATAATTATGGCTCTACAAAGTTGGAAAGGAACTACTACTACATGACAAAGGATGGAACTCTAAGCATCGTTGATCAGGAAAAACTCATGATCCGAACTCTAAATTATAACATGCATGACTGTCAACCTTTGATAGACAATCTTAATGACACATGTGTTGCCGTCCTTTCAGACTACAACAAAGCCTTAGATGAAAAGAACATAGCGTCCCAAGACATGTTCCAGGTGTGAGGACGACTGGACAATAAAAGACTCAAAATGGCTATGTTAGAAAGAGATTTAGAGTTAGAAAAAGATGCAAGAATGTTGAGTGAAACCCAACTAAAAATAGATTTAAACCAAAGAGATTTAGCTCAGAGTGAGATTGTACGCTTAAATCTTTTAATAGAAAAGTTGTTCAATGAAAGTGAAGCTATTGAAAATTTAATTAATAATGGAACTATGGATAATACATACAATTGGGGTTGGTCCAATGGATATCCTACCAAAGAGGATTCCTCACCCCGGTTTAACAAAGATCGACCTTATACCCCTT